CCCTCAAATATGGCGTCCAGTGAATACCTCCTATACAGGAACTCTACCTCACCATAACGCCCCTCTATTCTGGGAAAGTGGTGCTATTCGTTGTTGTAGAAATGCTCGAGGCACGTGCCGCGCGCCACTTCTCGGAAATTCATGGCGCGTGAAATCTAGCTCAGTGCTGCGCTGCGCAGCCATGATCATCCCAAGGGCTGCACGTTGCGCGTGTCTCGTGCATCGACGCACCTTGCACTACTTTTGAAACATGAAGGGGCTTTACCGCACCATTCCTATCGTTTTCACAAATACAAAGTAAAAAACAACACACGCGTGTAAAAATGCTATAGGAGAACGGAAAATGGAAATTGTCTTCCGGTCTGGGTGATCTCAATGACGTCTTCTGGATCGTGTTTCAGCAGCGACAAGATTAGGCAGCAACGTGACTCGGCATTTTTCATTTTAGAGATAAGAGCTGGAAACGTGTAAAGGGAAGATAATTTGCGGATATACGATGAAGCACGTCGAACCTGAGGTTCCCGCGAAGCGGGTTCCCAACTGCGAGATGCGAATAGGGGGTGGGGTATTCACTGGACGCCATATTTGAGGCCGATGTTTAGAGCGCATGCTCAAAACAAGCTGACATGAATAGTCTGTTCGGCAAATCTTGAAGCTCCGGAATGCACGTGACGAAAGAACTCTGGAAGCTTGTCGTCGTCAGCACGCGCTCAGCAGTCGCGCAGACAGCTATGGACGCCATCATAAACGCGAGCGTGGGAAAGGAAGTCCGTGAAAAACAACCAAAACTTTAACGCAAGCTTGGAAAGGCTCGCAGGTTGTACTATATAGTGCCCCAGATAACGGCCGTGCAATACCGTCGGGGTCGCGAAACGGGATGTATGTGCGCAAGATAGTGTCCGGTCGAGGTGAGCGCGACGCTATGACGGCCAATTGGCGGTTTATATATAAACGGAGGGGAGATTTCCTCCCCGAGGCCTTTGACAACATGGGTTGGAGGTCTGCCACGTTGAGATCGGCTTTCCACTCCTGATCAGCCCACTGGCTGACGTTTGAGTCCCTATGGAATTTTAGAATATTACTCTAGCCGGTGACAGGTCAAGAACGAAGTGAAGCTCCTCCCACCTGTTTCCGTTTCAGTAGAGCGAACGCTGGAGAGGAGGTGACATCCACTCCACCGTTCGCTCCGTTGAAGTGGAAAGAGGTGGGAGGAGCTTCACCGTTCTTCATCTGTCATCGGCTATAGGGAGTTTTGGTAGATCGTTTCGATGAGGATATTCGCGACTCCAGCGAACTATAGGGGGCGCGCTGGTCAGGCAAAATGGCGGACGAAAGAAGGTCGTTTTCGTCGTTCAGCACGTGGAGGACCGTAAACTCATTGCACTGCAACGTAAAATCGATGTTACATATGAACGCGCAGCGATTTTTAGACAATAGAAACCTTCTTCTAGTCAGTGCGTAGGAACGACACGGCGGAAGCATAAAAATAATTACTGGAAACGATGTTTGTTTCTATGCTGCCTACGAGAACCAAGCAACGATAGCAGACGACAGAGTCGAAATAACCTCCTCTCTTGAGCTTCTCGGCGTTGCCGCTACGCGGCGTCGATTTCACTGGAGTCGCCAATACCCGATACTCCGCTGACACCTTCCCGCATCCGTCACGCCGTATTTGGTATTGTTACAGGAGCTATCTGAGCGATCTACTAAAACCCCATTGTACACCGGTTGCGAAACCGAGAGGGTATCATTATCGGTGAACAAAATGCGATGTCCAATTTACACACGAAAGAATAAACAAATAGAACGGAGCGAAGAACGCATGTTTCAGAACTACAATGCACCTGATGTTTTAGTCCCCCCCCCCCCCCCACCAAAAAAAAAAAAAAAAAAAAAACTTCCATTTTGCCCCCCCCCCCCCCCCCCCCGAAACAAAAACCTGGCTACGTGCCTAGATGCATCCTATTGCCTTTTGCAGGATGGTGCTAAATATCACTGGTTTGCTACCGGCGTGTGTATGAGGTTCCAGCTAACATTTCACGTTCGAAATACGCATTAAAAATTGTGAATGGAACATATACACTCAGCATGATTTCGTAGCAATCTTGATTCAGAGATGTCTTGACGTTTCTCAGGAATACATTAAAAGTGTAGACCGATTCGAGCATTGTCTCCGATTGTGAAGGCTCTCTGAAGGCTGTAACGTATGTGCGAAATAAAAATCGCACGACATTCGAAATAAGCGAAAATCTTTCCGGTGTTTTTTTTCGATAAACGAGGATATTTACATACAACGTCGTTTGCATTGATGTCACATCAGCCGCCACTGCGCCGTACCATGCCCCTGTGCCCGCACCTTCTGCAGCCTACATTTGGCACAACTGAATTTGTTTTTCTCGGCAACGCTTGCCGAGAGGAAAAAGATTCGATGGTGCCAAAGGTATGCCGTAGAAGGCACAGGACATGGTACGGAGCAACGGCGGCTGCTACGGTGCCATAGGACGTCCCATTATAATGCACCCCAAGAACTTCAGTTCGACGTACACCGCACTGACGTCGAAGAGACGGCCCCAACTTTTACGAGTTACTTGATAAAGATGCGATATAACTTATTAAACAGCTAAAGTACGTATCAAAAACTACGTAAAGAAACGCTGAGGTTTAGCTGTAGGGCCAAGAAAATAAGATTTTTTTTTTCATGAGTAACACGTACATTATATAGCTATTTTAAAAAAGTTTTACCACTCGGCTATCAAGCCGATCCTAAAAGTTGGTTCCTTCGGTTCGACGTGAGTGCGCTATACATCGATCTGAAGTTTTTGGGCGTTTTATACGGGACAAGGGGTGTAAACATATAGCCGTTTTTTTTCTGAGTGTGTAAATAACAAATATGTTTGCGTTTCGAACACAGTTGTGATTCCTAAGCGATCAATACCCACGCGCAGGCACGTAGCCAAGGGGGAGGCCCATGGGGCCCGCCCCCCCCCCTCCCCGAAAACTTCCATTTTGCTGGGACCTCCTCTCCCCCCTCCCGCTCATACAGCATTTTGTCATGGGCGGCGGCCCCCCCCCCCCCCCCCCCCCCCCCTCCGAAACAAAATTCTGGCTACGTGCCTGCCCACGAGTGTTTCATTTCTCAAATCAATATGGTGGAAATATTTTCCCATGTTTTGGCATGTTCCGAATTTCGTGCTATTTTTGCATGATTTTTCGCCATGTGTCCCCGAGCCTTAACTCCGGAGTCGGCAGTCAGAATGCGAACACTCACCGAAAAACCTACCATCCATCACTTCGTTTTTGTTTTGCTTCTTTTAATGTTGTTTCTAGGAACAAAGCATCATGTGAGGTTCGCCAAACGTGTTTCTTAGGTCCGCGGGATGTAAACAGCGCAGATGTTATGCGGAGCTAATTTACGACGATTCTTTGGAATCAGCTTACAGTGAAGGAGGCTATCAAAACACTAGTTGATCGCTCCTTATAGGACCGAAAGCAAGCAGCGGAAAAACATCCGCCGGTTACCACATTCCCACATAAAGAGGGATCTTTCCGTCGGCGTGAAAGTGCTTTTGATTCACACGAATTAGATTTTTATCTGCTCTTTTCCTGTTATCCGGTTCAATAACTCGCGCTGGTGGCAGATGTATTGTTCAACAACTTTCGAGGGTCTTAAAAGGGTGAAACAAATAAAACATGTCACAATTCTAAACACGATGTCTAACGGACTATTTTCTACCTTCGCGAAAGTTTAAAAAAAAAAATCGTTCGTCACGAAAACATAGATGTTCTAAAATATCTGTAGAGGTGCAACTACGCAAATTGTAACCCCAACTTCATTCCACACGTTGGTGACGTGCACGGCAAAAAGCGTCTCTGTGGTCGGGCTTTCTCGATTGGTCTTGAGCACAATATGACGTTTATAGTAGGTTTGATTCTGCTTTGATCAACGGAGATTATAATATTATCAGATTGTCAGGTTTGAGTGTGTCGAATCGAGAACGCTGTTTACTCGAAGCTTCCACCATAGCTTCTACACGCACCAATGAACTTGTCACTCACAATATAAGATCTTGGACGACACCTCACGTGTAGAGACCAATAGAGTAGGCCGCTCAAATATCTTATCGGAAAAGCTTAAAATTAAATTGGTCATTCCCATAGTTTCTGACGTCAAGAAATATACTGTTTCATAACCGCAAACACGAGCTTTACTAAGAAAAAACAAAAACAACAGGGCCAAGGCCCACAACCAACGCGAGCGAGCAAATCACGTACACTCGAGCCGGCTCTTCCGCGAGCCCGCGGAGCCCAATTTCTCATCGCCCGCTGCCGCGCAAGCGAAGCCCGCCAGCGCGCGGCCCTCCAAAGCCGGCGGCGAGAGCCGCCGAGGGCATCCAAAGCGCGCGGCGCCCGCCGCCGAGGCCGAGCCCGCCGCACTCATTACCATCGCCGCAGCCGAACGGGCGCAGCGAGCGAACGAGCGACCGAGCGGTCCGCGAAAGAAAGAACGAACCAAACAAGAGAGCGCCGCGTAAAAAGAAGGAAGCCAAAAGAGCGCGTCGGCAGCAGAGCGCCGCTGAGCGCGAAGGCAGGCAGGCTGCCAGGAGGAGGCGGCGGCCGCAGCAGCAAGAGAATCCCCGCGCGCGAGACAACACCGGGGCCCCCTGGCGTCTGCAGCAGAAGCGGGCGCGTGCCCGCCCGACACAGCGCCGGCCGCCGGGCCGCGACCGGAGGAAAGCGACGCGGACGGCCGCGCCGAGGAGCCGCCGCCTGTTCCCCCCCCCTCCCGCCGCCGCCGCACCGAACGGCCAAACCGACACACACAAAAAAGAGCGCGAGGCGCAAAGAAAGAAAGAAAGAGCGCGTCGGGAAGCGCGCACGAGAGCGAGCGGCGGCGGCTGAAAGAAGCGCGGACACTCCTCGGGCGGCCGCCCTCCCCCTCGCGAAGCGGCCGTGGGGGCGTCCTCCTCTCCCCCTCCGGGGCGCGTATCACTTTTACCGCCGTTCCCGGCTCTCCCCGCGCAGAAACCACCAGCGGCTCCGGTCATTCGACAGGGGAGTCCCCGGCGCGAGCGGTCGACGCGCGGCGCTGTCTCTCTCTCTCGTGCCTCCGTGACCGTCGCTGTTGCTCCTCGTGCTTCTGCCGTCGCCCGTCGAGTGCGCGACGCCGCCGTCTGTGTGCGTGGACGTGTGCTCGTACGGCGTCTTCGGGTACTCCCACCGGCGTGTGTCGGGTTCCTTTTTTTTTTTTCTTTTCGGCTGCGCCTCTTGTGTGACATCCCCGAGTTTCCAACGAGGATTAATGAGCTTCGGCTGAAGACGTCTCTGCGCTTGGCTGCTGCACTTCTTCGTTCGTCCATGACTGTCTGCTAAGGACACTGTGAGTAGGCGTTTCTTCGTTGTGGGGAGGGGTTTCGTCTGGGTGGGCTAGAGGAAATTGCGGGAGCGGTGACGAGAAGCGCGAAACTGCGCGCGGACTCGGGAGAAACGGAGTTGGTGACTCGCGAAACTTTTTTGAAAACACCTAACTTTGACGCCGGAATGACATCACTAAGCTCCTAACAAATGTAGACACTATCAATGTGATGTGACGAACGATGCAAACTTTTCCAACTGCGAAAAGTACTCTGTTCATTCCCTGACGCGCGCGCTCGCACCGTGGGAACTCGCGCGGAGAGCTCTTCCGATGAAGAGATCGGAAGGAAGTGTGGAAGAACTTCTCACATGATATTACTTACCTCTCATAAGCCTCGTTGTTCTGGAGAAGTGTTTGTTTCTTTTTCTCGGTAGGTGATGTCCATCCAACCTAAAACTTTCATTTGTAATCTTCGCTCTTCCCTTTGGAAACAGCAACGCAGTCTTGGGTTAGTTAGAACCTATATCTCGGAAGGTTAGTTACCAAATGCTAATACTATCATAACTACACACTATCTTCAGACTGGCAAGGACTGCTGGGGACTTTCCATTTGCACACTAGCGCCTTTTGCGCGCGCCAGCCTCCACGAAGCGCAGCGTGGTATGTATCTCCGTAAATCTCAACAGGGTTCGCGAGTCACGCTTGCCGGGAGAAAACGGGCTTCGTAGAGTTAAGGCTGGGGTTGTTGCCGAGCTCTCCCGAAAGTTTGGTTTCTTATTTCGCACGCGTTCTCGAGTTGTAAAGGACTTTGAGGAGAGGCGCGACGGCAAGACTTCGTGCGGTTTCTCCCCGCCCCAGCAGCGCTCAGTTCCTTGGCGCTCCCTCTTGCTGTCGGACTTCCGGTCACCCTCCTAGCCTTTTGTTTTTCTTGGCTACTATCTTTACGAAACCTTCGGCATTTGCTTTATTCGTATAATTCTAGAAACCACATCTTCGAACGGAAACTTAAATATGCCTTTTTTCGTGCGTAAGCTTATTGCTTGTGAGCTTATTATACGCTGTTGCGAGTCTGACGTTATAACGAAATCATGTGGATAACTATTTGCTAACCTCAGTAGGGAAGTAACTTTTAGGGTCGCTTACGGCTTATGAAACGTGAGGCATTACTTGAACTCAAGCTGCAAGTGCTCAGAATCGGAGTTGCTTATGCAGTTCGGTTGAGAAAGCTGGCGCCAGTCCATCGCGTGGTCTGACGTTATTTCTATTCGTCTAAAACAAGTGAAAGAAACAACCGGCAGCTTGCGCTTTTCAAACGTCACGTCCCGAATGCACGAACTCGGCGAGCTCAAGACAGTGATGAAGTTCGTGCGCACTTGAACGCATGAGGAGATGAATCTTCCTACGTCGTCGTAACAAACACGTATACCGGGAATCACTGAAGGCTGAAGTTTCAAGCCCTTTGCATCTGCAAGTTAGGACAACTCTCGTAGTATATGCTGTTCTTGGAAAAGTTCTCGGGCGGAAAATGCGTCGCCAGCGACAACGGTACGACTATGAGGCCGATGCAACCAAGTTCATAGAAAAAATCGTAAGGGTGCAGGCGAGCTGGTGAATAATAACCATGTTGAATTAACCTGAGACTGGGGTAGAGAAGAAACATCAAAACGTAGAAGGGACAGAAAATAGACAGGACGACGTCTCCGTCCTGTCTATTTTCTGTCCCTTCTACGTTTTGATGTTTCTTCTCTACCCCAGTCTCAGGTTAATTCAACATGGCAACTAAGTTATATGCGAGACAATACATAAGGTCGAAGTTCAGTAATGAAAATGATCAAAACGACTGCCAGCGTCTCTACGCCGTGTTCACTTGTCTTTAAGGAGCGGTTGGGAACGTGTGGACTCCGCGGCGACAGCCTGAAATGCAGTATCGTGCGTCGCGGCTATACTTTAACGTATTTCTAAACAAAATCCGTGCGTTGGCCAAGGTTCCGTATAATGTATTCAGACAGTATGCTTTGCAAGTACCGCCGGCTTAGAGCTTCATTGGAGAGAAGTAGATTTCCAACCAATTCAGCCAAAGCTCCCTCCTTTATATTCCTTGCGACTGTATGGATCCTTTGGACGACGATAGCTTAAAACACGCGACGGTGATTCTTACCTTTTTACTCTGCCATGAAACCCTGTCGCGGCCTTAAACGTTGAAGCTTAAGCGACTTCGAAAAAAGGCGTTAAAACTCAAAAGTAGTTGTTTAGACCTTTGTCAGAGCGAATTTTATTTCGCCTCGAAGTACAACGTTTTATGCTTCACTCGTGGAGGGACGACCTATGGTTCTTCAAGTTCTGCATCGCATGTTTCTACTCCGAATACTCTCGAACTGCGGTGCGTTCGACTTTAGCTGAAGCGAGGTATAGTTGCACTTCATGTACGAGTGTAGGAGAAGCTACAAGAACGAGCTCCAGGTTCAGCTTTCCTGCCAAGCACACGCTCTCGCGCACTGCAGCCATCCTTCAGTTCAGGGCAACATACTCGTGCTTCGCTCGTGCTTCGCTGGTGCAGTGTGAAAGAAGCTAGGGGGGGGGGGGGGGGGGGGGGTTCACTAGACGCCATATTTTAGGCGCTGTTTAGAGCGCATGCTCAGAACGTGCTCATATGAATAGGCTGATAAGACCGGCAATCTTGATGGTGTGGAATGCACGTTGCAGAAGAACTGTGGAAGCTCTTCATCGGCACGCGCTCAGCAGTCGCGCATGCAGCTATGGCCGCTATACTTCGCCTCACCTGAGCATGGATTCACTGCGAAGGCTGTGCAAGCGCGAGCGGGTTGCCTTGTCTACCTTTACTGGAGCACTCGCTGCACGAGCGCTCGTGCAGCCGCCGAGGCTTCATCCAAAGCGAATAGCTCGCGCTTTTAGCATGCGCGGCTAACAATACTCCATGCTAAGGTGAGACGAAGTATAGTGAAAATACGTCCTGTAGATCTTGCGGAGAACCAAAGTTATAGCACACGCTCACTTGTCAGAGCGTAGCTCTTGTATGCGATGCTTTTTTGTCCCGGGCTCTTTGTTGGCACCCTTCGACGTCAGCTGACACCTTGCAAGACGGTGAACTTTGATAGCTCCGTTGCCGCGTGATGTAGCGTGCGTGCACCGCGTTAGCGAAAGCCGATTTCCTTTGTTCACATGCTGCGTTTCGCGACGCAACAAGAGCGCGTTCGATGCTTCGAGCTCGTCGCCTTTTCAAAAAGGCCGCGCTGTTGACGAACAATGCGTCCGGAGTTTGGCTAACAGAAGGCTATTATTTGCCGTCGGCCATCGCCCTCGGGATTGCGAGAGACGACAATGTCTAGGTCACATCGTTTTATTTTTGCGATGGTTTGGTCTGAGACGCAAAGCTCCCGCCCGATGTTCTTGAGCAATACGCTGAACGATGTGCGCGCTACGCGCACATTGTTGAGGGCGCACCGCCAGCTTGTTACGGCCAGCGAAACGCAACGAGAAAGTGTTCGCTGACTGTGACATAGTTGTGACGGCTTGAAGCTGAGCTAGTTGGTTCATGCTTGTGTTTGTCCTTAAGACGTTCAGCTGGCACTTTAACAAATGTAACATAATTATTCCACATGTCCTTCTAAAGCACGGGAAACGTACTTTTGAAAGGTGAAAGGCTATTTTTGGTCACTGCCACGAGTTTTTGTTCGAAAGAGAAAATGAAAATGTAAGGGAAAGTCGAAGTACCAGACCTGTTGTGAAAACGAAGAAATTTGAAGCTCGTCGTGTCGCAACCTGGCGGCGAGCGCTAACTTGAGCTTTAGCTCACATCTGCGGAAGACTTCCAAGTTGTTTTCTGGTGCAGTGTTCGATCGTCCCGAACCCGCTTATATCCAGTCGCAGACCGGAAGTACCAAAGAGTAGTCGCTTTCCGTCTTCCGGAAATGTGAGCTGACCTCCGGAAGTCGAGAGAGGCATTTTTGTATGGCGCCTTATGTGAGTCAATTCCAGTGACTTCATTAGGAAATAAATTTTGATCGTGATCACCTTACCTAAGAGACTCTGAATCGAAAGCAACTAGCAAACGCTCGTACACGAAGGTCGCGATTTCGAAGCGCTTCACCTCGTGGCGCGTTCGTAATTTCAGCGTATTTCTCGGATTCACTTACGACTCGAACTTCGTCAAAAGTAAGCGTACAAAATGTACAAAACTTCCTCCCTGCTCATCAAAGCACGGGTAGACTAAATCGATAACGAAAACGTGAGATCCCAAAGTACGCCGATCTTCTCGGTCTGGGGCCATTCGAAACCGATTTGTATCCGCGCGCTTTATCGGTCGCCGGTCGCCGTTGATTTTTGTTCGTGCTTCTTTTGTCTGTCTACAAATCGAAATGCCTCGCGTCGTACGCTGTTCCTCACAAGTTACAGTGCGGGGCCTTGTAAGCGGCAGGAGCGCGAGCTTCGTTTGTACTCGTGCTCGTGCACCCGTCTGGGGGTCTGCACATGCGCATTGGGACACCCCAAGCTGCCTAAGTGACCTAAATCATTCTCAAACTCCCTAACGATGTGTACAAGCGCGAGCTTAAAGATTTAAAGGCGTATACCGCCCGCGCACAAGCGAAAATGCGAAGGCTCTTTTCGATAACTCTTAAAATTCACACGCTCGCGCTTATAACCATGTCTAAGCACCTGATGAAACCGAGCCCATACGGGTAGACATATCAGAAACTTATCGTAGATTCTACGTTGCGGATTGCGGGCCTTGCGGGCGGGTGCTCAAAATGAAGACACGAGCTCTCGCCAGCAACGCATAACTTGCATACGGTCTGCGAAAGGTCCCTATTGATGAATAACAAAGCGCTCGTCTGCGATTGTTGTCTCCTCGCCTCCGTGCCTTGCAAATGCAGTTAAATATTACGGGGCTTTAGTAGATCATACGCACGTGCTTTGCGTTGCTAGCGGGAGCTTGCGCCGTCACTTTTGGCACGGAGTGAGCACGTGCCCGGGGCCCGCAATTAGCAGCGTACTATCGATGAAAA